GGGGCCGTGCGCGTGTCATCACACGTCATCTGCCGTAAAGGCGTGAATAAAGGTTTCTTCAGCCAGGACACGCGAGGGCGTGATATCCCTTACTTATGTGTTGTACCGAGTGAATCGACTGAAAGGGAACTGCAGACGATCTACCTGCCTCAGTAAAAGCTCGTTAAAGAGTGAATTACAGGACAGATTTAGAAATAAAACTAATATTTCTCAGCTGACGAAAGCAAGAACAAACCAGGTCCTTAACATGCAAATCCAGTGGCAAGCACCCATCAAGTGTCAAAGACAAGATCTCTAATAAAAGGAAAGCTAATCCAGATTTCGAATGAACCAGGGGGACGGGCTGACAGGGGCACAAATTTTATTTCCATTCAACTGGAGAAAATTATCTTGATATCCAAGATTTTTTTTACAATCCAAACAATTCTGCTGTGAGTAAATGTAACTGTAATGTTACTTACAATACTGACAGTCTGATTCCCTTTGCTGATAGTTTTCTCGACAGCAAGGCTGCCATCCCAAATATTTCTGTTCAGAGTCAGCAGGAAAACAGGAGAGGAAGGCATGTGACTCAGCAGTTTAAGGACAACATCAACACACATCAGCAACCAAAGCTTTGAATCAGAGGCCGAGTATTTAAGCTGTGACCCAGAAAAATGTGACAAATGATGACAGGCTTTACTAACCCGAGAATGCGTGCAAAGTAGATGCAAATGCCGTTGTGCTTCCCGGAGAAAATCACCTCAGGGCCAGCTGACATAGGTGTGATGGGGGCAGAGCCAGACTGCATTGATGCAAAGGGTGTGGCCAGTGCTGGGGGTATAATACCTGAAGGGGGCATTAATAATGCACGATGGTAAATATTATAGTTAGCGATTAAAATGATTGTTTTCTTCACGTACAGATCTTGTTTTGCATGATTTGGTCACATCCCACCAGCCAGGTGGACACAGCAAAATGTTTGTTCATTTACCCGGTGCTGGAGAGCTCATCACAGGCCCAACAGTACTGGGTGACGCCAAGGCTGCAGGAAATCTCATCTGTGCTTCTCCTCCATATCTGATCAAAATAGTAAAAAACAGCACTGACTTTAGTTTGTGCACACTGTGAACGACTGGAAATATTTACATATATCAAACCATTAACTGACCTGAAGAAGGCTCTGGTAGCCCATTGTGAAACCTCTCTGTCGCAAGCAGCACTGGAGCAAGCGAGGATTAAGGCTGTGGCACAAGCCTGCTCCTCCTGTACAGAAAACAGTAATGATTCAAAAATATGTTGCATGTGATGAAGGTGTCTGTGTGTCACAAAGGCTGCTAGCTAGTCACATGCATAGGCTTACTGCTACATGGTATGATAAGGGGATTATAAAACATTACACAGTGATTGTCATTGTGATTTTACCCGGTGGAGCTTGAAGAAGCGTTCAATTTCCTCACTTTCCCCTCCAGCACAGCTCACCAGGAGGTGACGGAGCTGATCTACTGGTCTCAGCTTTTGAAAAATATGACTCCCCTGAAGGAGATTTGACACTTTTAGTTGTACAGTTATGATAATGTCTTGTCACACTGTAACAAGATTAAGTTTACGTATGCAACATGAAGCATCATGACAACAATTTTAACCTTTGCAGAGAGGAGGACAAACTTCTGTGGAGGGATGTTGTGCTGCTGGACCACCACAGGAGAACTGGTGATGGGGATATGGTCCTTGTTCAGCGGAGTAAAAAAATTGGCCGGTCGCTCCTCATTAATGGCACAAAGAGCCCAAGAGTGTCCATCTACATTAGACATCATCTGCAATGCAACATGTGCAGCGAACATGACAGATAAACTGATCAGTATCTAACAAAGTGCCAAAGAAAGGGAAAACATACATTTAATTTATTCATTGCATGACTTTTTTTGTGCTAACCTGCGTCTCCATTAAGGGCTTCTTGAATGGAAAGGAGTCGTGATTGATGCACCACAGAATGTCACTGTCCTCTGTCTCAGAAGCAGCCATAAGAAGAACACCTGATAGATTTCAAATGTATTAAAGACAGATGTGGTTCCTTGCCAACGAAGCCCCGGTACGTTACTGAACAAACAAATAAATGATTCAGGATCTGAGTGCCATTTGCTTATTACCTTTACTGTGTAGTGCCTTATGTACTTTGGAGGGTTTCTGGAGGGTAGAGGAGGCAGAAAAACCTGGAGGAAGGCGAACGTGTACCATAGCTAGTAGGCTAGGTCGCACTGCAACGTTCTTCTGGTGCGGAGGTGCAAAAGGTGTAGTGCTGAAGTAGAGACGCACACCTGCAGAAACACAGTATCAGTACAGACCGATACATAATGCACGTATTCTAGTATTTCATCTCATACTGATTAATATTTCATAACATACCTGCGTGGGTGACGGCAAGAAGATGGCAATCTGAGGACTCTGATCTGTCAATCACAGAGATCTGTACGACGGGTTTGAAGACCGAACGATCTATTGTCCTGAAAATGGAAAAACTGAATTTTTCAAATAGGCAGAGAAAAAAAAAAAGAAATACTCTCCTCTGAGCGGATAACAACACAAAAAGAAGCTTGATTGATGTTTATTAAACTAAAACATGCCTCGCAATGTTTCCAGCAGCCGCAACAATTGAACTCTGTGACATTGTTGCCACGCGACTCATTCCTTGCCCGTCAGCACCCAGGTCATACACCTGAAAAATATGAAAGTATTTCATTATTTAAAACGACAGGTGATTACTGCACATTTATTGCATTCCGGGTCGATCAGAAAGATATGTACGCACAAAATGTGCCTCATACCTGAAGGACACCTTTTTCTGAGCGTGTGAAAAGTGTGTTACGAGAGTTATCTATTGCAATCTGCACAATGGGATCTGTGGAGAGAAGCAACAAAATGTTCCAGTCAGCTTTAATCAGGCAGATATATTTCACTCCACCTGGAAACGTGAACCTGCTCCTTACCATCTTCAGAGAAGGAGAACTGAAGCACAGAAGGGATTAGGAAGGACAGAGAGCTCTTAGAGTGGTTGATTTTTCTGCAGCGTTGGCTCAGCCAGCCTGCCTCAGCCTGGTAAGCGATCTCATAGAGACAGCCGTCCTTCCCCGCCATAAAGATGCGTCCCAGATCTGTGGAGGTGATGGACAGGATGTAGGTGTTGTCTGTGGGGATTGAGAACAGAGGGTCTGGTAGCAGCTGCATCCCACCAGACATGCTGTCATTCAACCCTGAAACAAGAGAGAGACACAAATATGACCCAGATAAACCAGCATAAGCACATCATGATATCATAGGCACTACTCCCATTACCCAACTCTGACATCCATACAAATATCCTCACACCGATTCTTAAAAGTGTGCTTGTCTGGCATTTGTTGTTATATAGCTGACAATGTAAATGGTAACAAACTGAATACATGCCTTTAAAACAGCTGGATATAATTTAATGTACTGCTGCTTAATACCAGGGTTGCTGCAAGATTTGAGATGGAATGTTTAACTGTTAATGTTAAAAGGAAAACCTTTTCTTTTCTTTTACCTACAAAATATTACAAAAATTCTGATGAGGAATCACTTACCAGCTTGACCTTTGGGGAAACTGAGCCCAAGGATGACCACGTCCACAGAAGTGGCCAATACTAAGAGGTAGTGAATGTGTGGCTGTAAAATCCCTGAGAAAAGAAAAACAGAACCCATAAGAATTACTCAAACAAAAGATGACAAATGCTTTGCGAGTGCCTAGGCGTACCTTGTTTTGGTTTTACTAGGCCAACTGCCAAAATAGTTTCAATCAGGCCATCAAAATAGGCCACGTCTCCTCTGCAAGGAATAAAAAAAGAGAAAAAAAAATGCCTCAACTCCTGGTTTTATCATCAATAAAGACTCTCAATAAAAATATTATTACTAATAATATTAGCAGAGTTTGTGCACTTGACTTGGTTTGTAAAAGTCAGTCAGTCCTGTTTTATCCAAGAGGTACGCACCCATCTTCGTAATTCCACATAAAGATGTCATTGTCAATTGTAAGCCACGCTCGAGAAATTTCAGGGAAAACTCCCATCATGCAGTTGAACTGCATGTCTACAAGTTGGTTAAGCTGAAACTCGTATTACTTGTGGAACAAATACAAGTGCAATGAACATATTTTCTACTCGATATGTCAGATGAAAATCATTGCATTTGTTTTTCCTGAATGAACGAAAGGATACGGCTGAATTGCTCCACGAGCTCAGGTGGCAGAGGGACTCGGCGGACTGCACTGAGCTCTGGCAGGTTAGGTACACTGAGTAAACCAGGCCCCTGGAGTGGGTAGTCCATATCTGACACCCCGGAGAGGGACGGCATATCTGTGAACAACAGGAAGTCTGTTTATAGTATTAAGTTTTTCTCCATCACTGTAAAATAAGGTAAGCAATATAGTTGTTGAAATATATAAAGATGTTACACTGAAAGGTGTTAAGACAATGGTTCATTCTATATCAACTAACCAAATCCATCAAGCTTGGCCGTCTCTGGTTTTCCTGAAGAAAATTCCAGGACTACACTTCCAAATAAGGAAGCTGACAGGCTTTAGCTTTTAGCCTGGTGCATGACACTCACATTGTGAAATTTAAGCTCTCTTAAATACCATCTGTAAAAATATATATTTTTTTAAAAGTCATGCTGAGAAAGTGAGGCTGAAGTTATAAACAAAGACACCGTATCTTTGCAAAAAAAAAGAAGAAGAAGTAGTAACAATTAAGTTGTTATGGTGATGTTTTGGCGGGTTTTCTGGGGGGGCGGGTCTGGAATATCAACGAACCATTCATCTGATATGAGTAATTTGGTAGTACAGAAAACACCTCATATACGGAAATCTGTGTTCCAAAAACTATTAAAATTTTCATCAAAATTCACGCTGTCAGAAATATATGTTGAACTTCAGCTACACTTTTGAAATTCCATATTCCTTGAGTCACATCAGCAGATATTTGGCCTAAAATATTTGAACGACTACTTAGCTACTAGGAGAACTACCTACAATATATGAAAATGGCTCCACAGAAAATGGTGTCTTAAAAATGCCCCCTAAACACAAAAACAAATTGATAATAAGTAGCACAGTTAGCACTGTTGTCTCACAGCAAGAAGGCACCGGGTTCAAATCCAGTGTGGCGTTTGCATGTTCTCCCAGTGTCCCCTGGTACTCCAGCTTCCTCCCACAGTCCAAAGACATGCATGGGGTTAGGTTAATAGGTGATTGCCTAAACTTCTAAAGGTGTAAATGTGAGAGTTAATGGTTGCCTGTCACTATCTGCTAGCCCTTCGACAGACTGGAAACATGTCAAAGGTGTACCCTGGCTTTCGAATTTTTGTCAGGAAAATCAGAGATGGTTAGGCTGAGAATTTTATCCAAAACTTGGTCAAGTGATATGAAATAATTCCAATGTGAACTTTGCATTTCCCTTATCTATCTTTTTAACTACTGAGCAACAGAATAATTTAGCCCCTTAAAATAAAATACCACGATGCAAGCGTAACATAGAGATGCTTCATTTGCTTATAAATCTGTGGAGCAGATTTGGCTTTCCTCCTTTTACAGTTAAATAAAATAATAATAATAACCAAACAAAAAAAGAATCACATATGGAAAATACATTCTTACAATGAGATGATCTATGGGAGTTTATCCAAATATTTTGATAAAGCTTTTTGCCTTAAATCATTTAATTTAAAAAAAACCCTAAGTGCTAAACCTTCACATTTTCATGCTTTTCAACACATCACCCTGAACTTTTTAAACTGTCTCTCTTCACCCAAACACATCCATATTTCCCACAGTCACTCCTGAAATCTGTATTTTACACACACATGAGCAACAACTGCTGCTCAGATCCTCTGTAGGAAAGTTTTGTCCAAAACCTCCTGCAACATTTGCTTTCACCGACATTATCCATCCCAGTTTTTCCTCTACTCCTAGTGTTGCATGAGCTGTAAACAAACAGCTATCATTAGGTCTTTCCTTCGCCTTAGCTTACTGTGTGAGGGGACTCCGAGCAGTTCTGACAGGTCGGGAAAGCATCGGTCATCCTGCAGGTGTCTGTCGATGAGCCGGGAGGAGTTCTCCAGGGCTTCAGCGAGCGCAGCGGCGGGGCTGCTGGGTCCAGCGGGGGACGGCATGGCTGGGCAACCACCGCTCACCTATCCTATCTGCACAAAAAGCAGTTCACAATTAATCGACTGCACAATTTGGCCAGATGCCCTCCGTAAATACCCGAGAGAAATAATCAAGCGATACACCAAAAACTTTAACTTTTGTTTTCCAGTTGCTGCTAGCTAATGTTAGCTAGTTGACAGAACACCGGTTAGCTTTCTGCTGCCACTAAGAACCTATTATTTAGCATACAGCTAACTGCCAGCTAAGAGTGAAATAAAGCATTTAAAAGTGCGGTCATTGCTTTACCCAAATGAAACGATTCCGCGTGTTTCTGGTGTGTTAGGTCAACGAGTTGAGTTGATCAGTTGAGCAGCAAAATTCAAAGAATTACCCCCAATACACATATACAGCTAGCAGCCCGCCAACCTCATGCACAGGAGTAGAGAAAGGGTTATTTCCGGTGTAACTTCTTCTTCGTCTCCTTCAGAGTGTGTTGTACTGCCATCCACCAAAGATACACAAGAAGAGCTGTAAAATATTCCGCAAAATAACCACTTTAACCATTGAAAGACGTGCTGTATTCTGTTTCATCTGCAGTGCTGTTTCAAATAACGATGTTTTCAAATCTACGTATTCAATTGTTCTTGTAAATTTGATTTTTTTTTAAACGTGAGACGCTCATTCTACAAAGGTCAGCAGTTTTAGTTTCTCAAGCAGAAACGCAACTTTTATGTTTTATTATGCATTCAAAAAAGGTTTGCAATCAAAAATTAAACCTTAGAGTGTAACATAATGTTTTATTGCCAAAAATAGTGATTAATTATGAATACGTGTAATGAGTGCTGAATCTCATGATACAACGATAAACTAATGACAGATACTAAGTATGGTTTTATTTAAAACAGATCAACATCACTGGCATTATTAAACTAAACACGTCACAAACTCCCTAGACAAAACAAACAAACAAACAAAAACCCAGTGTGTTTGGGCTATCAAGAAAGGCGTTTTATACAATAGATCATGATATTTTAATAACAAATAATTGATTCAGTGGCATTACGGTGTAGTTTTAAATTTGGTTGGGAGTTAGTTAAGAAACAAACAATAGTTTGTGAAGTTAAATGATTGTTACTCCGTATGTATGGACATTGTTTGTGGCCTCCCCCAGGGGTCAGTGTTGGGCCCCAATTGTTGTTCAAAAGTTACACAGTACATCAGTGAGAGGTGTCCACCGTGTTAAAAATGCTCGTTTTTGTTGATGACACTAATATGTTCTTCTCTTGTATTGATTTGTAATATGTACTGGATGAGATGATGATAAATATTTGATCTGAAGATCTGGCTTGATAAAAACAAATTATCATGAAATTTGATCAAAACTAAAATAATGTGATTTGGAAATAGTAGATTCAATACAAATGTAAAGATTCAGAAAAATTGGGCTGATTGTAAGAGTCAAAAACAGATTGCTTGGGATAACAATGTTATTGTACAGTACGATCTACTGTACAATATAAAGCGCCTTGAGGCGACTGCTGTTGTGATTTGGCGCTATATAAATAAAATTGAATTGAATTGAATTGACACATGGCATGTATCTCATGCATGGATTTTGTGGGATTTTCCCACACAACCATCTCTAGGGTTTACAGAGAATGGTCCAAAAAAGACAAAAAAAATCCAGCAAGCGGCAGTTCTCGGGGCGAAAATGCCTTGTTGATCCCAGAGGTCAGATGACAGGCTAGACTGCTTTGAGTCGAAAACAAGGCAACAGTCACTGTAATAGCAACTCCTTACAACCAAGCTGTGCAGAAGAAGATCTCTGAATTCACTGAAATCTGAAGCAGATGAATAGTGGCAGAAGATCACACCAGGTGCCACTCCTGCCAGCTAAACACAGAAAACTGATACTACACTTCACCACAACTCGACAAAAGAAGACTGAAAACATGTTACCTGGTCTGATTAGTTTCAATTTCTTATGGTAAGAATTTAGGGTAAACAACATAAATAAACACCCATCCTGCACTGTATCAACAGTTCAGCCTGCTGGTGCTGTAATGGTGTGACGGATATTTTCTTGGTACACTTTAGGTCCCTTAGTATCAACTGAGCATAATTTAAGCACCACAGCCTACCTGATTATTGTTGTTGACCATCTATCTCTTTATTATCACAGTGTACCCATCTTTTGATGGCTGCTTTCGCCAGAATAACACAACAGGTCACAAAGCTCAAATAATCTCAAACTGGTTTCTTGAACATGACAGTGAGTTTACTGTACTAAAACGGCCTTCACAGTCACCAGATCTCAATCCAATAGGGCACCTTTGGGATGCAGTGCCAAGAAATCTTCAGCAACTGTGTGACACTGTCAATACGGATCAAAATATCTGAGGAATGTTTTCAGCTCCTTGTTGAATCTGTGCCCCCCCCCCCCAAATTAAAGCACTTCTGAAGGCAAAAAGGGGGTAAACTCAGTGGTAGAAAGGTGTACGTAAAAAAACTGCATATACCTATTAGTATGATTATATTTACACTAATACTTATAAAACACACAAGCTCGTTAGACAGGAACAAAGTGCCCACAGCAGATTAAAAATTCGTACCTTTTATGACAAATTTTGCTCAATAGATTGAACGTGGTAACATATTATGAATCATTGACAGATGAGTTTAATCTTTCTGCCACATGGGCTTATGTGCCTTTTTGAAATTAACTTCATAGAATCACTTCTATTTATCTGTGTCAAACACACGGTGGGAAAATAAAAACCAAGCACATTACACGGTCTGATGCCTGCAGGAGAAAAAAAACGCAAACAAGGAACAAAGATGTAAGAAAAATTTATTGCAGTATTTATTCCATCAGAAGAGCAGGCGCTCGCTCTTTTTTGTTCCTCTGTGCTCTATAACATCAAAAATCTATATTAAAAACAATAATGGCACAGATACTGCACTTGTCTGAACATAAATAAATTATATCAAAGATAGTCCATTATAGAATGAAGGTAACAAACAAAAATGTCTAAAACAGGAGAAAAACAGAAAGTTAGAAGTTGTGGAAGTTCAGGTCAAGTGAATAAATCCATCTGGTGCTAGTTTAAATTCAAAAACCACTTTATTAAGAACATCATCAATACACTAATTTCCAACATTCACTTTGTTTTTTTTTTTACAGAATTATGTTCAGATATAAACACGTTTTTTTAGTTCATCTATAATACAGTGGGAGTAAAAATCAAACAACCAAGTTGCTGCACAACAGCGAAGGAACTCCCACACAATGTTTTCCTAAACATTTCCTTCTTGTCTTTTTCTTGCCTTTGAACACGTGTGTATTTAGACAGACGTGTTTACAACACTCTTCCACCACCAGGACGTTAATCTAACTTCTGTGTATGTAACATATTGGATCCATAGTGTTGAGCTGTGCAAGATGTTTCACTAATCTCTTTGATTAACTCTTAGTCCCCTCCTTGGCAGCGTACAGCGCCCGTAACGTCTGTGCCACTTTGTTCGTGAGCTTCTGTCCGCTTGTCAAAGAGATTTTCTTGCAAATAATGTCCGACTCCTTGATATTGTCAACCCAAGGCACCTTTTTGCGGCCGTCCCGTTTCTTTGCGACAGCCCAGGGTCCAGAGTAAGATCCAGTCATCCAGTGTATACTGTAGCCATTTCTGGTCTTCTGGACGACCCTGGCAATCTGCGGTCTGTCTTTGTATTTGCGACAGTAGATAGCTACGATGTCCATTACCTCTACTGTCTCGTTCATGTTACCTGAATCCTCTGCACAGTCTCCACCTTTCCTTGGCTTTCGCTGTGAATGACAGGCAGTGTCAGAAACTCTTATTTATGTGGGGATAATACGTTAATGGATATGCTGTAGATACAATGCACTGTTAAACACTGAAAATCATTCTTCACGTCTGTTGTTTGTAAACATTAATATAAATGTACAGTACAACTTTGTAATATTGGCGGTGTTGAAGTAATCTACTGTAATTTATTTGGTTATGCTTTGCAGGGTTTAAGTACAGTGATCTGCCCTGTGGCTAAGTTGCTGCTGTATAAGTATGCTGCTAATCGAATGCACTTTAAAGCTGATCGTCAGCAAATTTGAGCACCTTTGTAAAAGCAGAGGTTTTAGCTGTTTTCTGCTCTAGAGCATTCAGATGTGTGTTAACATAGCGTCACATAGTGCCATGGACATTCCAGCAAAATCACCCCAAGGTCAGATTGTGCAATCCTTAAGAGAAACGGCAAAAAAATCCAAAGCTACATCTCAGACTCTACAGGCCAGTAGAAAGTTAAATGTTAAAGTTCATTAGCCAAAAGACTAAACAAGTACTGCTTGTTTAGAAGGGTTCCCAGAAGAAAGCCTCATCTCTCTAAAAAGAACATGGCCGCAGGGCTTAGATTTGCAAAACTGCATCTGAACAAACCACAAGACTCCTGGAACAATGTCCTTTGAACAGATGATGCCAAAGTGGAGATATTTGTTCATAAAGCACAGCACCATGTTTGATGAAAACTAAGTGAGGATTTAGGTTTTGCAGCTACAGGATCTGGACACCTTGCCGTCGACAATGAACTCTTCTTTATAACAAAGTATTCTAGAGTCAAATGTGAGGTCGTCTGTCTGGCAGCTGACAGCAGCTTGGCTCAAACTGGGTCATACAACAGGGCGATGATCCTGAGCACATTAGTAGAAAAAGAATGAAAAAGAAAAGAATCGCGGTGCTGTAACGGTCCAGTCAAAGTGCAGACCTCAGCCTGACTGAAATGCTGTGCCGGGACCTTAAAAGAGCTGCGTCTAAATGAATGCCTGCAAACCTCAATGAACTGAAGTAATGTTTGGGCCAAAACTCTTCCATAAAAATGTAAGAGGCTGATAAAATCACACAGAGTTATTGCTGTGTTATTGCTGCTAAAGGTGGTTCTACAAGGTGTTGAATCATGGGGTGTTTTTCACAGGACTCCAGTCTGCCGAAAGCCCTCTTTTACACATGATTTTTATATCTATAATATTTGTCTGACCTCTGTAGAAGTGCTCAAATCATAACACTGTACATACTAACATTACCATAAGCCCTTCTCTACAGAGGAAAATCCAATAAATGTTCAATGGTGTGGGCGTCTTTATGTGTATGCATGCAATAAAAGTCAGTTTGCTTCAATCTGTCATTTTCTGGCACTTTTAACCCAGCATAACAAACACCACCACATATTTCCAGCATTGTAGCAGATACCATGAGGAAAACAAATAAAGTTCTTACAGCAGGGGGATCTTCATCCTCGCTCTCCTCATCATCTGTCTCCACTGGAGCTGCATGATTACTGTGGTTGTGGTTTCGGGGTTTTGGACCCCTCAGCAGTGAAGTAATGGCTTTGTTTCTGGCATTGGCATTTGCTTCACCGTCCTCGTCCTCTTCATCCCGATCCAAATGATCCATTAGAACCTTGAACTAAGAAATTGAAGGCAGAAAAAATGTAATAATGATCATTTCTACCCTGCACGTGTTTTACAAACAAGGACAAACAGTTTCTCGGACAGAAAACCAATAAGACTTCCCGTCATTATTACATGCAGACTAACGGACACAGCTACTGCTTATGTTTCCAAACGGAGACACGAGTATATTGAAAGCTTACATCCAAATACTGTTTTGCAATGTTCTTCTTGGCCTCGTAGCTGAGATCTGTGTTGGCCAGATCACTCCTTAGGTAATCCAGTGTCTGACTAGGGTTGAAGTGCACCTTAGATTTCCTGTTCACTGTCTTGTCATATACTTTGGCAGACTCTGTCGGTGAATACTTCTGGATTTTGCTGTAACACAAACAAAATTGCTCAGTAAAGTGATTTGAATTGCTCACAAAGAGATAATAAAATATTAACATTTTCTCCGAGGCCCACCTGTCCGAGAAGCCGTACAGATTCTTCAAATGCTGTTTGAGCACCAGCAGCAGCAAAATGCCCTGTGACGCACTGGCAAACTCCAGCAGAGGTTTGGTGTTTTCAGGCAGACGGTCCATCACTGCGTCCTCATCGTCCAGGTCAGAGTCGGAATCTGAACCCTTTTTCCTCTGCACTACATCTTCCTCCTCGTCACTGCTGCTGGATGGGCTGCTGCTTTCATCATCCTTTTCATCATCGTCGTCGTCATCAGAGCTGTAGCTCCTCCTCCGAGAATGCTTCTTCTTTTTCTTTTTCTTATTCATCTTCATCTTCTTTTCATGCCTTATAGGCTCTTTCTGTAAACACTGCACAAATGACAAAAGAAAGGTCAGATATGCATCTTCTCTTGAGCACAGCGACCAAGCATAACAACTGATAAACAAAACTAGACAAAGCTTTGCACCTCTTTAAATGACTGGAGCAAGTTGCTACCAGAGACAGACAGGGTAATGTCTATATGATGCATGATGAAAAGAGGTTCCTCCTGGGTCTGATAAGGGAAGCAGGCCAAGTTATCTGCTATGAACAGCAGCATGTTCACCTCTGTTTTCTGCAGGAGACAAAGTCAAAAATGCACATTTTTAAATAAACAGGTGTAATTGCTCTTCTGAGGGCAAATACAGCAACCTAAATATCTCCTGACAAAGGCCAATCATGCCAAAGTAAAGAGATGAACTTACAGAGCTGTCGTCAAACAGGTTGAGCAGGGAAATTAGAAAAGCCCGTCTATGTTGGCGGTTCCCACGGACCATGGTGTAGAGATGAGAGCAGAGAGCCGAGTCGGAGTCGTCATGACGGAAACCACGAATGACAGCGTGTTTGGATCCATTTATGGCCTGTTGCACCTGATAAGACATCTTCAGCCCTGCGACAGCCTTCATCTGCAAACCCCCCCCCAAAAACAGTGAGATAACTCATTAGGTGGGCACGTTAAATGATGACATTTGAAATACAATTTATTTTTAAAGCCTGAGTTTTTTAAGCAAGGTGTGAGTTAAAAAAACAAAATCAAATTGCAGAATGTAATAATAATATAAAAGTATTAGATGTAAATACATTTATTACACAGAAAGTTCTATTTTCCCACCTTTTTTTACACTTTCACATTTTTCCAGTTGTCAAAAACCACAAGCCAACTCACATGAATAAAGCCTGAGTATTTTTTGTCGATCTCCACCAGCTGCTGATCGGCCTTGTTCTTCATTGTTGGCTCCGGGTCTGTTCCCATAGCGATCAAGTAGGGCACACACTGAAACAACAATTTACAATTTACGAGTATGCAAACTGCAAAACATAAAAAATACATTTCAAAAACCCACCTAAAAAAATATTCAGAAAATGTAAATAAACCTTATCAGGCTATACTGATGTAAGACTGTGAACACACCTGTACAGGGTGAATGAGGCCCTGACTAAGAGTCAGGGTGATGACACTCAAGGCAAAGTGCCGAACTGTGGACTGCGAGTGGAAGAAGGACTCCAGAACCTGCTTCAAATAAATCTGCATTATGGAGCTGCTCATGCCCGATGAGATGTCCCCCATTTCCTTGAGATCCTCTTGCTTGGCTTTATTCTTCCCTGAAGAAGCAAAAACATCAGCCTGGTGAGTGCGCAGGTGTCACATTAAGTGGCTGCCATGTTTCACTGCATGTGCATGGATAACAATGGACGTGAGCTGGAACTGTTAAACTCACATTCACGGTCAGCCTCCTGCATTCGAGAGTCCTCCTCCTGCAGGTATGTCTGCAGGTTTTTGAGGACCTGGATCTTCAAATTGACTGAACTGTTCTCGTCCGACAGGATGCTGTTATAAAGAACCTTCAACTCCTGCACAAACATGAGCTCTGGGTGCATGATGAACTGAAACCCTTGGAAGAGAGGAATTGATTTAAAATACAGATTTACAAAGAAAACAAAAGTCAAAGTTAAAAGAAAGCTGTAAACATTAAGTGTCACTATAAACACATCTATACGAGCCTTTTCTGAGGTGTAGGATATATACCTAAACCTATGATTGCCTTGATCTGGACCTCCTCCTCTTCGTGAGTAGTGAAATACAGCAGAAGCTCCAACACTTTGTCCTTGATGACAATCTAAGAAACAAAGAGACCCAGCAATCAAAACAGCTCTTGCAGTCTTCATTCACATTCATTCATGCTGGGTACCCTTCATGCTGAAACCCTGCCTCCCAGTCTCAAAACAGGTCGATCTTTCATGAGTTAAGAGAATTTCTTAACAACAACTCCATGGAGCCACTACAACATTTAAGCAAAGGGCCAGGGTTTACCTTGTTAGCACCTTTGAACTCTTCTTGATCGAAATCAAAGTGTCGACACAGAGCCCCCACAGTGAAGAGCGAGCGCAGAAGAGTGGGTTTGTTAGCAGCCAGGGTGGAGCTGGTGGGATCCTCTTGGTGCTGTGTCTTGAGTTTTGCTAACGCTCCTATAAGATAACACAAACAGTCAAGTGAGCTTTAATGTGAAGTAATAAGTCGAACGACTGCATTTCCTGACCTGCGCTTATATAGTTTAGGTTTTCACAGAGCTTTTCATTTCAGGAGAATTTTTATCCACCAATTTGTACCTTTTCTGCTTTATTTCACAGTAGAAATGCCTTTGAAACAAAAAACTCAAGCATTAAGTGACAGTTCAGCATAAAGTGGAACACATCACGGTGAGGTTCTCAGAGACAAAAACAAAGACATGAAACAAGTAGGCAACGATTCCTTAGTAACAGTTCACAGACTAGCAACAACCCTTTTAAACCTGTAAAAAGGAGCTCACAACTAACTAGCTTTTGAGAGGAGAAAAAAAATCATAATATCAGCCATCATCCTTTTTCTTTCTGGCTGCTTATGGATCCACAGCGACAGAGGAAAGGCTGTGATCTACTGACTGAAATCATAACATTGTGTTTTGTGCATCAGCTTGGCACAAACTCATAACTGGCTTAAAGTACTGGCTCTATTAATACCTGATATTGATAATTTGTCGATATTTTGTTACTAAAATTTATAACAGCCGATGACTGACAATTTAAAAGCAAGCAGGAGAGAGAACAAACACATTTTAACCATGTTGATGTTGGATAGTTTGCCCACCAGAGGGCACTCTGCAACTTCCCTATTGGCAAAGATTTTCTGAGTCACAAAGAAAACAACCAGCTCGTCTGAGAGTGTGTGTTTGTTTTTAAACTCCACTGTCATATTAGATTAGTAAGGACTCTTAAATAACTAAACACAACAAATGTTTGGGAAATGTGGTTGTGTTTTGTCTTAAAAAAAGAAAAAATCCTTACCATAGTACCGATTAAAACAAGCCCAAACAAACTTGTAGTTGTGTGTGACCTTGTTCACGATAGCACCAAGACAGCTCACACAGTGTTGCACAACCTGGGGAGCACAAAAGGATGTATCAGAACAACTGTCTCACACGCTGTTTGTGGTTTTTAAAGCTACCTCTGAAAGCAGCGAGCTGCAAATGAGACCTACCGTCATGCCGTATTTGATGATAAGCTTCATTAGGTCTTCTTCGATGGTAGTGAGGAAAGTCGCACTCGGGTGTTCCATCAGAGGCACGACCAGCTCCAGGATCTTAGCCACGTTGCATATCACCATGAAGTCGTTCTGACTCTGACAGATGACAGCACAAAAACACATGGTAGCTTCACTGTCCAGGTCCATGTTTAGCTTGCCTGTGAGTATCTCAAACATTCGAAAAATTAAAAAAAACTATCACAGTACTTACATTGCACTTGGTGGTCAGGTAGGGCTGCATAGTCATGGCATGCTTAACCATTAACTCTGCCCTGATTTTACTAAACAGGTAGAGAGTGGTGATGCACGCTACCAGACGACCTGAGCTGACCCCTTTGTCCTCACAATCTGAGACACAAACACAACAGGGTTATTATCTGTAATAAGACTTTTATAAGCAAATACACACCTATGTTTGTTCTTTTTTTAGCAAAATACATTTACCCGCAAGAGACTCCTCATATTTTAGTATATGTTCCACTAGATTGTCCACTAGCTGAACACAAGCCTTCCCTGCAGGTTTGTACGAAGCATCCTCCTCTGATTTCAGCAGCTAAAAAGAAAAAAAAAAGAAAAATGACCCAACACAGTAATTAAAAAGAGTGCCAAATGAAAAAATGCAGACAAGCAGCTTCTGAGACAGCAACAAAGTCAACTAACATTTTGGAGAAGCTGCTCAAACCAGTCGTAGCCTGAGTCTTTACATGCCAACACCTGGAATAAAAAAATAAATTAAAAAAAACACAAGTTAGTTCATTTTACTTATTTAAATAAGATCACTTTTTGTTTTTTTGTTTCTCCCTTTTGTCCTGATAATACACACCACGTCTGTGATGTTCAGGATCTTTCTGGTCATGGCTTCTTTGTCGTGGCTCGGCGTCGGGGAGAACCAGAGTTTCTGGAATGTCTCATTCACCAGTTTCTGCAGAGGAAAAGATGTTTAGTTAGACACACTGTATATGAACGCTACTACCAACAGTCGACTGTAAAAATGTACATTAAACAAAAACAACAACAAAAACACCAGCCTTGATCCCTTCTTCATCGTTGACCCTCCGGATCATCTTCACGCACATCTCGGTGATCTTGTGGAAGTCTGGCTGCTCTAGACAAATATCCCTCATGATCTTAATGACTCTTTTTCTCACACTGATGCCTGTGTCCTGACAAAGACAAAGGAACAACTGAACATTAGTTTCCTTTTGTTGTGACTTATGGAGTAAATCCAAAAGTATTACTTATCCAGTGTGTGCGTGT